CTTACTTTAGTTATCTCATGACCTTACAGGGGGAAATGGGCCCTGGTAGTTGTAATTAAAAGGGGGGCAATTAAACATGCAAAGCATATGTGATAATTATTGAAGCAAAGTTCAAGAAGGTGGGAGGCAGTGGGACAAGGACCAGTGGTGTGAGTAACCCTGTAGTGATTTCAGATTATTTCTCAGAAAAATTCCTAAAAGTAGAAAAAAAGCAACTGTTATAAAACAGAAAATATTAATATCGATCCATCAATCATCTCATCTGTATCAATCCACCATATCTGTCTATCAAATCTCTCTCCAAGAGATCATACATAAGTATTTTAGTAGTGCTTATCTCTGAGAGTTAGGATTATGAATGGCTGTTATAGTCTTTTTTTGCTCATGTGTATTTTCTAAGTTTTCTCCTTTGAGTAAGTGCACATTTCTAATATGAAGAAATTCATAAAGGTTATTTTAAAGTCACCTAAAAGGACAAACATGGGGCATTCTGCAGTCCTCAGAAACCCTGGGGAGGGTGTGGACAGCCAGAGCCCAGAGCCCAGGCCACCTCTGGGGCCCTTCTCCGCAGAGAAGCCGGGAAGCCAGGCGAGTGAGGGTGTAGGTCCTCCCGCCTGGAGACCCTCATGTGGCCTTGGCCACATGTCATATTTACCAATCTCAGTTTCAACATCTGGGAAACGGTGGGGATAACGCCTACTTTGTAAGCTCTTGCTGGATTTGAATGAGATGATGAATGGAAGTGCAACTGGTGTGGAGCACATACTCAATAAATGTCAAACAAGTACTAGCAGGCTTTGTCTACCCTGTGATGAAAAAAGGAACGTGGCTCGAGGCAGTGGGACAGAGGCTGCCTTCCCTCTGGAGGCGGCGTTTCTGAGACAGTGGGGGGTGGGCTGGTGCAGGCCGAGTGCCAAGGGGAGGTTAGCAGAGTGACGTTAATAGCTACAGAAGCGTTTCCTAGCGCCAGGCACTTCACGTGCTTTATCTCATGGGACCCTCCTAAAACCCCACGAGCCACACTCTGCTACCCTTTTAAAGACAAAGAACCTGAGACTTAGGGAGGTAAGGTGACCCACTCCAGGCCACACAGTTAGTAAATGGAAGATCTGGGACTGGAATCTGGGTCTGCTTTACGCCAGAGCCCACGTTCGTAACTGCGGGATTATCTCTCATGAGCTTTATAACCACGGGGAACTGGGCTGTGATCCCAACTTTGCTGCTTGATACCTGGTGGCCTTGGGTAAGTCACTGCCCCTCTCTAAGCCTCCGTTTATTCGTCTAGTGGCTTGTGATCTAATCCCTGTCCCATGGTCCTCTGGAGGCGTGTGAGGACTCAGATACCCAGCCATGTTTGTCACGTGGTGGTTCCCTGGCCCGTGGTCCAGGTCCGGGAGAGGGCATTCCCACAGTGCCTGGGTCTTCCAAGGCAGCGTCTCAAAGCCGCGTTGCTGAAAAAGCAATTTTTTTGCTCTAGCTTGTGTGGATAGATTTTTAATATTTAATTAGGGAGACCTTCCGCTTGGAGAGAGGGCAGGACTTGTTATTAAATCTCCGCTGCTTGGTCTCCCTCACTTGCCCGTGGGATTATTCATTCATTTCCAGTCACACAGTTTAATATTGCAACAGCTAATGGGGAGATGTTGATAATTTGTAAAAACTGGTTGGTCCCCAGGCCATCGGAGGAGCTCCATGCGTGGACCTGCTGTGGGGGCTAAGCAGATTCTCGGGAGACCAGGGCTCCCGGGAGCTTCACGTTCATTATCAGCAAACATCCACCGAGCACCTTCTCAGTGCTGGATCCACGTTGGGAGCCATGAGGATCAGAAAGACGTTCATGGCGCCGTTGTACCCTCAAGGATTCAGGATTTCTGATTGCATTAAAGGATTGGGCTCTGCAGGCAGACAGACAAGGGTTCAAAATACCTACTTTGACATTTCCTAGATGGGGCATGGGGCATTAATCTCTCTGGGAGTCAATTTCATGCACTCTGTATGTAGGCTCAACCCTACCAATAGGTTCTCTGCAAGAATAGGCGGAAGGGCCTTAAACAGTCATTCATGGAGCACACAGCTATGGAGCATCTTCACATGGGAAAGGCACTTTGGTAGGTAGTGTGATTACCATGGTGAATAATGACAAGTGTGGTTGCATGAGGGACTTAACCTAAGAATCACAGACACAGGTACACAATTATAGCTGTGATAAGTGCTGCAAGGAAGAGCTATTTGGTGCTCTGGGAGGCAGTGGGAGGGGTCCTGATGTAGTGCAAACATTCAAGGGAGGCTTCCCTGAGGAGTGACATTGGCCCTGAAATCCCAGCGAGCAGGAACTACCTAGGTGGGAAGGAAGGGGACGGGGGGGTGGGAGAGAGAGAATGAATGAATATGAATCTAAGTATGGAAGGAGGATGGGGAGGAGTTTTTAGGAATCTCCTGTACAGAAGCCCTGGAGGAGAAGGAGATAAGATGTATTCAAGGGAAATATATCTAACTACATCCTTACTTTAAAGCCTTCAGTGATTCTCTGTGTCCTGCAGAAAAAAGGCCATTCTCTTTAATAAGGCATTTAAAGTCTTTTATGATCTGCTCCTTGCTTAGCTTTCAGGTTTTGTCTGTCCTACCCACTGTCAATTTCTGGAAATACTTGCTGTTCTGCCAACATGATTTCCTGATCGACACTTCCACACCTTTGCACGTGCTCCTGCCTCCATCTGGTGGTGCCTGACTTCCTTCCTCTGCTAGCGATTTCCTGGTTTTCCTCCAAGGCTATCCCATGGCGTCGCAGACCTCTAGGGGGCGCTACTTACATGGACTACAGTGCGAAAGGCGCTGGCTGGTATCCTGCAGCGAATGCGGGGCCCCCTCTGAAATCTGGCCTCAAGGGCTGCTTCCTCTGAAATGGTAGTTTTTGTCTTCCCTGGACAGTATAAGGGTGACACGACCCCTCTCCTGCAGCACCCATCACCTGCATGGCAAACAGGGATCTCTCTGTCTCTCCTAGCCCGTGGGTTCCTCGGGAGCACGGCAAGTGCAGCCACTCATCTAACAAATGATCTCTGAGCTCCTACTCTGTGCCGGGCACTGGCCCAGGTGGTCAGGCCAGCCCTCTGTTCAGCAGGAATGGCATGTTAGACAAATATTTGCACAAATGAACATGAGATTATAAATCGTTTTAAGTGCAGTGAAGGAAAAGAGCGAGGGAAGTATGAGGAAGGAAGACCAGAAGGAGCCTAATTTAAGTTAGGAAGGAAGGAGAGTCTGCGAACATATGAGCTGAAGCATGACGCCGAGAAAGAGTGGTAGGAAAAGAGTTTCCGGAAGAGGGAATAGCATATGCAAGGATTATGAGATGGGAAAGAGTTCGGCCTTTCGAGGGACAATGCAGTGGTGGAGGTGGAGGGGTGGCATGGGCGAGGGAGAAGGCCATGTCGATGGGAACGCAGTGGGCAGACCACCGACTGTCTTATAAGGACTCAGGTTTTCATTTTCAAACAAGGGAAAGCTCGAGTATCAAGTTGGTAACTGCCTCAAGCCAGAAGCCTACCCAAGCATCCATCAACAGCAAAACGGATGGCAATTGTTAGCATAGTCACACGATGAGACGCTACACAGTGAAGCGAATGCACCAGCTACAGCAGTGTTCGACAACATGGGTGTAGGTACAGTGCAAACTCAAGGCAAATGCATCGTGCTGTTAGAAGTCAGAGTAGCATCACCTTTGGGGAGCAACCATTCTAATGGAGCAAATAAGGGGCCTCTGGGATGCTTTAATATCCTTCCTCTCCCTTTTTAGAAATACAGATGTTGGTTACATGGGTTCTGGTGCAGATTATATTTTAAGTAAAGTTTTGAATTTTATTTTTGCTTTTTATAAGTAGATGCAGAAAGACCTGCTAGGAGAGTGTTGTATCTGGATGAGGGATGATGTTAACTTCCAAGGAGACAGAGGAGAGGTAGATTTTGCATCTCTCTGGCAGGGAGAATCCGCCAGACTTGCTGATGTTGGGTGATGGTGCAACAGGAGTGAAGGAAAGGGATAGGAAGATTATTGAGGCTTGAGCAGTTGGGCGGATGGTGGAACTGTGCCGAGATGTCAAGTGGGGAAGGCTGGAGGGACAGCTGTGTCACACATCTGTGTACCCTTGTCCTGAGCAATGGGGTGGTTCCAGAGAATGGGATTTGGTTAGTGTTGTCTTTCGCTTTTATAAGTCAATAACCCTATGATCAGTCCTGCAGAACAGCATTGCCACGCTTGTGTTCTACATACTGCATCTTCGAGAGGAAAGTTCAGAATTCTTTGAACTCAACAGCTTTTTGCAGACAGGGCTCATGGACATTTGCCATATGGACAGCACATCTTTATTTTCCTTGTTGGTACAATTTCACACATGGCACAGACATATATATGTGACCACTTCAGGTGTTCCTTATGATTCTGGGTGTGGAGAGGAAAGAAAAGGACAAGTAAAAGAAACCTCTCCATGGAAGGTGCTCTGCTGAATGCATTTCATACCCTACAGGCACCAACCTCTTGACGATTATTTTTTAAACTCCCATTTCCTATGTTATTAGGGCCTGGTGAATATCACTGAGTGACAGAGTTGGAATTTGGACCTTAATTATGCCACACTGCTTCCATGTGATCAGGGATGAGGGTCTGGGTGCTAATTGGTATGTTAGGGGGTGACAGAGACCTTCTCCCCATTTTAGTTTCCATGATGAGAAGAGGGAACCCCAGTACTTAGAAGGTGCTTGGAGATCTCCAAAAGACAGCTGCTCTAAGGTTCTGTTTCACTCTTTTGAAAAACATTTGCCCATAATGTCTCTTTATAGGATAATAAAAATGAACCATCTGTGGTTCATGGGAAAACATATCTCAGGCTTATTAAAAATATATGAATTTTTACTTTAAGATGGGATGACCATATTATTCAAAATTGTAAGCCAAAATGTATTATCTATTATTAACTTATTTTTAATGGACATCTTTCTTATAGATTAGCATTCTAATTACTTCTGAAAAAGTGGGCCTCAGCAAGGCGAGTTTTCCAATTAAAATTGTCCTGAAGATAAATTGAGGTCTTTGGCTGAGAGCACTTCAGCATTCTCCCATCCTGGAGCAATAGCATCTGTCATCCCAGAGGGACCGAGCCGGGATTCGCATTTGTGCTGGATCTGCCTGAAGAGCTTGAGGTTCTCCTTAGGAGAGAACTGGGGCATCCTGGGCCATGGACCCAGTGCTTAGGTGCTGTCCCAGAGACGCGCAGGTAAAGACCGTCACAGCAGAGCTGCCTCCAGCCTGCTTCCCACCGCTGTCCACCTTCCTCGGGTCCTCCACTTCCTGCTCACTAATCCTTCCTCCAAGCCAGAAATAAAAAGTGTCTGCTGCAGCCACTGCTGCTCGCATTCTATGGCAGGGAATGTATGGGGTCTTCCAAACACTTTAGATAATTGGTACATCTTAGCATGCATAGTTTGATGGAAGTGCATTCCTGTGCATTCAAATCAGTCCGCGCTGGTTGGGTGCCTGCTGTGCTCAGGTGTCTGCATCGGTAGAGGCAGAGATGTGGGACGAGCTGGATGCTGCACTCGAGCAGTTTGAATGGCTTGAATCCCAGACCTCTCCCACTCGCTGGGTAGCTTCACCTGCCCAGTGGCCCTGCCTCATCCGCGGAGGACACTCACTCCTCGGGGTCTTCCTGAGGATCAGCTGGATTACCTGGAACACCGCGGGCAGCAGCTGTGCAGCAGATGGTGGCCCATGTCCTGTCCCTCTGGTCTATCCTGTGTGAGGGGGTGGCCTGGTGGACTGACTGGGAGTCCTCAGGACATCCACCTTGACGTCAACCTGGCTCCATCTTCAAGAGGGAGAGCATGAGCACGTGTGTCGGGGAGGAGGCTAGCTTGTCCCTAGAGATGCCAGCACAGGGCAAAGAGCACTGACCAGGGGGGATGGAGGGACATTGGGCAAGGGGGATGGGAACCTGGGTTCTGGGCCTGCATCCTGAATCCTGGGCTTTAAGCATTTCCATTCTCTGGGTCTCAATTCCTTCTGCAAAAAAAGAAAGGGTGGGGCTTTCTACTTTTCTAGACTTGGGCAGTTCTCTCTATAGTTTTAGTTTATTAATCAGTTATGAATCCAGTGTTCAGAAACTTCTCTAAGGTCATCTTATACCTATGCTATTTCAAATTTATATTAACATCCTCTTGAGATAGCAATTTTCATTAAGTTTATTAGTTGTGGGGAAGGCAAACTTCTTTTGATCAGTCCTAGTTTACTTCTTTTAATCTTCTAATTTTAGTATGTTTAGGATTTTCTCAACATTCACATATTTGTTTAATAAGCATATAAGCATGTCCATGCTCACCATTTGCAGATTTTAGGGGAGAGAAGACATATAGAGAAGAAGTTTACCTATATGTCTACTATGTTAAGATACACTAAGTGCTTTCACATTTGCTAATCTCCTTATATTTAATATCTTCCCAACCATTCTGGGAGGTGAGATTATAATAGTATCCCCAATTTGCCACTGGGCAAGCTAAGTCTCAGAAAGCTCAAGTGACTCTCAAGGTCACACAAGAAAGTAAATGCTTGTACTGGCATCTGAAGCCCCATCTTGCTTTCCATAATTCCGCAGTGTCATGTTGCTTACATAACTTTGCAATGTATTGTTGCAGTCTTGTAATGTTGTGCCCACCTTCTTTCTGCCTTCTCCTCTTTACACATCAGACAGATGGAAGTTATTATTCCTAGAGCTGCTCGGCATTGATTCTTTGCTTCTCCAGTCCTTGAGGATTTTTTTTTTAAAAACCTCCCTGTTTTGTCTGCAAAGGCTTGGGAAAGGCTTGGAGTGGAGACTCCAGAGGAGGGTCCACCAGGGGTCTCACCTAGCATCCTGCCGCTTCTTGTTTCCTGCTGCCAAGGTGGGACCTTAAGATAAAGTGCCTTGGCTGCTGCAGTTTGGTGATGACCTGGCTGCGTGGCAGCCTGTATATTTAGTGCCACGCATGCTTAATTGCATCTGGCCAATGAGTGCGTTGCATGTTTGGGGATGTTACTTAGGTGGTTCTGGGGAAAACTGAGGGCATGTATATCAAGCAATTTTTGAATTATGTCTCTATTAGCATCTGTGAATATCTCCCTGGGGAAGCCAGGAAAGCTCTATTAGTTGAGCAGTTTAAAACAGGATTAGAGGAGGCAGTGGGGGAATATCCCACAGGGAACAATAATTATAAACAGCAGTTCTATGTAAACAGGTCTTAATGTGTTTTCTCTATTGAATTCCTGAGAGTGGGGATCTTGAGTGGTGTTTCAGCGCCCCCTCCAGGGCCTCACCCCTGCATACTGGCACCTGGGGGGAAGTGTTTGGAGCTGAGGGGGAAGGCTCCAAGACCCCACTGGCTCCCTGAGCACTGGAAGCCTCTCGTGGCAATGCTGAGCCAGTCTGGTTGTGCCCACTGGCTACCTGTGGGCCCCATGGTGGCACTGGCATTGTTGTGTGATCTCCAGGCAGTGAGCTTGGGCAAGTCACTCCCTCTCTTTGTGCCCTTGTCGTATTTCTATAGTCTTAGCACTGAACCTAGTGTTCCCATAGTTTATTCCAACTAATCCTCCCATCATCCTTCAAGGTGGGTTATATCACCTCATTTTACAGATGAGGAAACTAAGTCTCATGGAAGTTAAGTATCTTGTCCAAAGTCACTAATCAGCAAATGGCAGAGCAGGGTTTAATCTCTGGTCTTTGACTATAATTCCAGGAGTATTTCCATGACATCAGATTATTTCCATGCTCTTTAAGGTCTTGTCCTACTAAATGTTCTATGAAACATACCTTTTTGGTACCAGCAGCTTGGTAATCTCATCTTGGGTTTTGCGGCACACCTCAACTTATTTGGACTATAGCAGCCATGGGAACAGAAATCTGGGAGATGATGGTGCCTACCTCATAGTCACAAGAGTTAAATGAAATAATATATACTATGAAGTATGTAAGTATCAAGTATGTAACGTATGTAATGTACATAAAGAACTTTGCCTGGCACATGGCAAGAGCTTAGTAAATATGCCTATTATTATAATACCATCATATTTCTTTTTCTCCTGGAAAATCTGGAATGCACTTTTTTTTTAGCCTTGCCATTGCTATTTTGTATCTCTCTTTCATTGGGCCACCAGCTGTTCTCTGTCTTCAATTGGATAACTCAGAGTCTTTTATAGATGGTCTTTGTACAGACTCTGAGGCAACATTTAGTGAATGGTTGCTGTATACCAGGGACATACATTCTTACATTTCATCTCATGATACCCATTGAAGAGGCAGCAACTTACCCATTTTGCACATATGAAAGGCAAGTTAAGGAGGTGAAGCCCATTCCCTAAGGCAACAAACATTGTGCAAAATGTCGGGTTGGGATCCAAAGCTGAGCCTTCTGACTCAGCTGCTGGTGCATCATAGAGTATGTGAGGTGCCAACTCCTCCCCTAATGCTAACTTCCTCAGGAGGCACAGCTTAGAGTGACTTCCAGAGGAGACAAGGTCACCTCAACCATCTTATCCGTAGCTTTTAAAGTAAGCAAATGTAGGCCAGGCACGGTGGCTCACGCCTGTAATACCAGCATGGTGGGCGGCCAACATGGGAGGATCGCTTGAGGTTAGGAGTTCGAGACCACCCTGACCAAGAGTGAGACCTGGTCTCTACTCAAAATAGAAAGATTAGCTGGGTGCGGTGGTGCACACCTGTAGTCCCAACTACTCAGGAGGCTGAGGCAGGAGGATGGCTTGAGCCCAGGAGTTCAGGTTGCAGTGAGCTATGATTCCCAACACTTCACTCCAGCTTGGGTGACACAGTGAGAACTTGTCTCAAAATAATAAATAAATAATAAAGAAATAACTAAACTAAAGTGAATGTGAAAGCAGCTAACAGTCTAACGTTAATGCTATGTTAGTACCATAATTGAAAAAAGAGATTTTTATTCAGGCTCTTCACATAGAAACTCACTGAGAAAATGAGAGCCTAAGAAGGAATCTGCCTTCTAAGGGTGACTCAAGAGCTGTCACAGTCTGGAAGGCACGGGAAACAGGCCGAGTATGTTTTGATGGAGACAGATTCGATGTTCTGAGTGTGGTGGTGTGGTGGGGTGTTGTGGGGGTGGGGGAGTGGGGGGGTGCGGGAAGGATAGGGGCAGAGTGGCCAAGTAGCCCCCAGGAGAAGGCCGAGTAGCAGTTTGGGGCCCTGGGCTGGAGAGGGCCTGGAAGGCAGGGAGGAGAAACCTGTGACAGCTCTGACTTTTTAATCTTTCAGTGTTGCCCGGAGGGAAATAAAAGCACAGTGTGCGGCGCTTACTCTTTTCCAGGGCAGGGACCACCGGAGTACTGCGCTGAATGCACTGAGCAAAGCCGACCTCTCCATTGCAGGAAACCTCAAGCGCCCTGGAGATGCCTGAGGAAGCAACTAGACAGACTGTTCCTTACAGCGGGGCTGTGGGCATTCGCGGGCCGGGCTCTGCTGGGGCTGGCTCTGTCTGGCGGGGACAGTGCTCTGGCCACAGCCGGAGTGCAAGGTGGGCTGCTGCACCTGGCCTTCGCAGCGTTCGGTCTTGGGAGACACAGAACGAAAAGCAACTGGCGAACTGTTAATTAGCTGAGCAGACTCCTAAAGGCTAATGGTTGTAGGAAATAACTTACTCGGACTCTCAAGTGAACCACAGGGAATCAAGTGCTTGCCTTGGAACTGGCTGCGTCCCCTTCCTGTGACTGCCCCCACCCCCGCCCCACTGCCCTCCTGCTCTCTCACCCTCTCCTCTTGACCTCTTCCTGCCCTGCCCTTTCTGAATGTTTCTCTCCTCTCCTTTCTTTTACTTCTCATTCTCGCATCTTATTTCTCCTCTTCTCCTTTTTCTCCAGTCCCTTCTGTAGTTGAAAATATTATGGACCCACATCATAGGTTTATTTCATTCCTTTAACAGATTTTATATTCACTTTTCTTAATTTAAAAATCAGGTGGTGACCCTCCTATGCCAGTCTCCAGGAACTTGCCTCATCGTGTTCTGCTCTGAACACTGGCCCCCTAACAGCACTTGGTCCCATCCTGGGAGGTACAGGCACACACTGGGTACTTTCACTTGATCTGCATTATAAGGGATTGTTTTAAAAAAAAAGTGAGAATCCATTCATGTATTACTTGTGTAATTAAATATAAATAAAAAGGAGATTTTTTTCCAAAAATCAGGTGAGTTGAATATTTTATGTTTCTCTTTCGTGAAGAAGGTCAAGCCAGTTAAATGCAGTTGCTTTTACTCTTATAGGCCCTCCCTTTTTCTTAGGATCTCTAATCTTTGATAGAAGAAATTTTTAAAAGTTAATCATGCTTGCTTTAACAGACTGCAAAGTACCACCTATTCTAGTCCTCAAATCTAGTGTCTTTTGTGCTGGATTTTAGGAGATTCCCTCAGCTGCAGGTGAGTCTGCAGGCGTTAGGTGGTCAAGTGGCAGAGAAGCATCTAGAGTCAGTCTTATTTTGCTGGTCAGATTGGGGGTGTTCAGGCTGTGGCTGGTCTGGGTCCCTCAAAGGGACCTCTGGGTGTCCCTTTGAGGTCAGAAAGACCAAGAGGGCCTCTGAACACAGATGAGTTCTCCCTGTTGGAGGATGGGAAGTACCTGCTGTCTTCTTGCTTGTCATACAAGCCAAGAAGTGTTAGAGACAAACTGGGAGCCCACCCCAGTAGGAGACAGGGCTGTTCTCATGTGGAATGAGATGCTTCCCATTTACCTTGAAAGAGGCATGTTCTGGGAATATCGTGAACCTTGGCAGTGTAAAAATGACAACACAATGAACAGATCAGGCAGATAGGCAGAAGGATGAGAGAAGTAGAAGGAAGCAATAGTGTCCTCGTCTTCTAATATTTCAGAGAAGGTGAGCAACAGACACTGCTTAAAGCCAACATTTAAGTAATCAAGGATTAATTGGGTCCTTTAAAGTATACCTATATCCATGGAAGAACTAAAGATAATGAACCAAATGTGGAGGCAGAAAGAGGAAAAAGAGAAAAGGGGGAGAGGTTTGGGGCTCAGGTTGTAGAGGAGCAAATCTACTCTGAGGTGCCAAGTCCTTCTGTGACCATCAGGGAGCATAGATGGAGGAGGGACTCCTGTATACTGGTGCAGGCAGGAGGTCAGGACTCTACTTCTTGTCCTCCTTGGAATTGCTAAGAGAAGGTGACCTAAGCCTTTATGTTTACCAGCATTCCAGATCAATAGGTCTATCAACATCTGAACTTTTAAGTGCATATATTTTATTTTATATTGTATTGTGGCAAAGGAAGAAATATTTCAAAAGATCTATTTACAATTTTCCTAAGGCTGTCGTAACAAATTAGCATAAACTGGATGGTTTAAACTAACAGAAATTTATTATCTCACAATTCTGGAGCTCAGAAGTCTTATTGAGCTGAAATCAAGGTGTTGGTAAGGGCATGCCCCTTTTAGAGGTTCTAGATGAGACTCCTTGCCTCTTCCAATTTCTGGTAACTGCCAGCAATACTTGGCTTTTGGCCACGTCATTCTATCTCTGCCTCCATCTTTACATTGCCTTCTCCTCTTCCGTCTGTGTATAATCTTTGCCTCTCTCTTATGACATTTATGATTGTATATAGGACCCACCCAGATAATGCAGGATAATCTTTTCATTTCGAGATCCTTGACTCAACCACATCTGCAAAGAATCTTTTTCTTTATAAGGTAACATTTACAGGCTCCAGGCATTATGACCTGACATATCTTTGGGTGGCCATTATTCATTCCACAACCTAACTATGTTAGGTTATAAGTATGTACTTTACCAAGAGCATATTCATTGAGTGGAAATAGTGATATTTGCAATGCTCCAGGCATAGTATAAGTGTAAGGTTGGCTGCAAATTGCCCTAGAGTGTGATTCAGAAGACTTGAATTGAGTCCTGAAATTGACACTTCCTAGCCATGTGGCCTTGAAGTCAAAACTCCAGAGTCTCAGTTTTTTAAAAAACTATAAAATTGGTTCAATAATAACATGAAACCTTCATACTTCCATAGGATTGTTCTGCTGTCCAAGTCAAACAAACGCCAGATAGGCAAGGGTTTTTTAAGCTGTATAGCACTAGACAGAAGCTAAGTTGTAAGAAATGGTTAAAGCTGGTTATGCATGGGTGGATGGCTTCATATGCACCATATTTCAAACCTTTTGCCATCAAAGGGATCCAGCAAGCCTCCAGAGTAGTACTATCTGTTTCTTGCAATTTAGAATGCATAGAAAATTGACTCTAAAAACCCCAATGGGCATGCCTGGATTCTCATGATATCCCCCCAAATTTTCAAGTTTTTAGTATTGTTACTATTTTTGGCTATGATTCTTGCTTATCCTGTGACCTTCCTGATTTCATGAACAACTTATGGTCAGAAGCATAACACAATCACCTGATATTTAGAAAGACATAAGTATGGCAGCAGAAGAACCTACTTTGAGAAACACTGATATATATATACCTCACTGCCTCAGTAGATGATGCGCTGGGATATGAATCACTTCTGAAGTTCCCATGGCAGGACCACAAACATGATGCTTTGGGGGAAAGAGTGCTGTCACCTGATAAGGGTGAGGTTGCATAATGCTGGCCCAGCAAGCAGCAGGCGAGAAGAGAGGCAGAGAATTAACCGGTAGTGGTCTCAGAACCTTCCTAGTGGGTATTACCTGTCTGTCACCTTCATGCCCCTGCCTTGATCTTTTCTTCTCTGCAGCCCCTGCTCTCCTCACTTTGGTGGACATGCTGATGAGCTTTGAGTGCTGATGAATGAAGGCTGGGTATGCATGATGACATAACATAAAGAGGAAAAGTCATCCCAGGGTTCCCACCCTGGAAGCTTCGCTGGAAACTTGCAAATGCAAAGGGAAGAAGTAGTCTGTACAAGAAGACTGATGGAGTTTTAACCAAAGGCATAATGCATGGGTTTTATTTGTTTTCCCTGATGACTAGGGCATTCTTTTTTTTTTTTTTTTTGAGACAGAGTCTCACTTTGTTGCCTAGGCTAGAGTGAGTGCCGTGGCGTCAGCCTAGCTCACAGCAACCTCAGACTCCTGGGCTCAAGCGATCCTTCTGTCTCAGCCTCCCAAGTAGCTGGGACTACAGGCATGCGCCACCATGCCCAGCTAATTTTTTCTATATATATTAGTTGGCCAATTAGTTTCTTTCTATTTATAGTAGAGACGGGGTCTCGCTCTTGCTCAGGCTGGTTTTGAACTCCCGACCTCGAGCAATCCGCCCGCCTCGGCCTCCCAGAGAGCTAGGATTACAGGCGTGAGCCACCGCGCCCAGCCCATTCTTTTGATTGGCATGATCAAAGGCCAAAAAAGAACAAAGCGTTTATGAAGCACCTGCTATGTGATAGGTGAGAAGCATGGCACTTCCCATGTGCCATTTCGTTTAATCATCACAATGAGTGTAAGAACATTACTGCTATTGTTATGAATTGAATTGTGTCTCCCTCAAAGATAGGTCGAAGTCCTAACTCCAACTACCTTATTTGGAATTAGGGATTTTGCAGATATAATCCAGGTAAGATGAGATCACTGAGGTGGGCCCTGGTACAGTATGACTGGTGTCCTTATAAGAAGAGGAAACTGCCACATGAAGATGAGACTGGAGCAATGCTGCCATGAGACAAAGAACACCTGGATCTACCAAAGCTGGATCTACCAAGGAAAAATCCTTCTTTGGAGGGTTCAGACTCTAGGAGCATTTGTCAACACCTTGATTTCGAACTTCTGGACTCCAGAACTGTGAGAGAGAACAAATGTCTGTTACTTTAAGCCACTCAATTTGTTATGGCAGTCCTGGGAAATTAATACAGCTCTCATTCTCATTTATCTATTTTATAAATGGGAAAGTGAAAGCTAGGGAGAAGAAGGGACTTACCTAAAGTCCCACAACTGATATATGGATTGAAACCCAGCTCTTTTGACTCTGGGCCCCACATCTCTGTACTATTCCAAAATTGTCCCTGAAAAATAAAATAAAAATAAGACTAAAGTCCTAAGAAAGACTACAGATGGGTTCTTCATCGCTGTTCCAGTGCTCTTCTTAGAATGACTGCATCACACTGGCCCCAATGTGGTTAGTAGGAGGTGGTATTCGCTCCTCAGTCCTCGAATGGGTGAACAGAGTTTCCCATATCACATACATGGTAAAATGGTGTTTTGGGCCATATGGTGAAGGCTCTAGCATAAGAGCCTATGTGTGGTGTAGACTCAATGGCAGACTACAGACTCCATCTGGAACCTGCTTACTTGCTGAGGTACTTGGTGTGCAGAACAGAGGGTGAAATTTTAGAGACAAACACCTCCACCTTGCTATTGCTTCATTTTTGGAAATTTTATTTAAGTTTTCTAAATCTGTATGCTTCCTTATATAAAAGGAATAATGATATCTACCTTCCAGCATTATTTAAATTTTTTTCCATAGAGTGTTATTTTGAGGGTTACATTAGCTCATGTAAATAAAAGCACTTAGCACTATACCTGGCACATTGTGGTGATGAATAAATGTTCATACCCTTCTCTTCCTTCACCTAGGGTTCCCAGAAATAGTTTTAAACACATGTTATCTACTTTTAACCTTAAATCTCCTCATTACTATAACATTAGATGAATGATTGATACCCTCTGTGATAATAAAACCAAAAGCAAAAGTTGTGAAAGGGAGATGGATACTTATGATATGCAAAGGAAGAGCAGAGAATATTTCTACAGCACCTTTAGCTTTATAAGGAGGTAGGCAGTTCTTGAATTAATTTGTAATCTCAGAGGTAGCTGCTCTAAAGCTATGAACAGGGATGGAGCATGTTTTCTTGGAATCCAGGGAAGACCAAGGGCTTTTCTCAGTTGTTATGGGCTGGCAAGCTGTTCGGATCTTTGCAAGAGCACATCAAAGGGACCAAGGGCCAGGAAGAGTTCCTATGTGCACGCAGAACTATTCCAGATCTTTAGATTTCAGGTGGTTTTTAAGGAAGAGAAAGTTTTCTGAACATACTTCTGCTTTCAAAATCTCAGGGAAGCCAGGTCACAGAGTCATAGATTAATAGGCTCACTAAATTTTAGCTAAAGCTAAAAAAGCCCTTATATACAAGGCTAATATGTAGAACAGATAAAGTTGAGCTGGTCTGATTGAAGTGGGGCTAAGGGGGCTTAGAGTTTGGCTAACCATCCCCACCCACAAAACTGAACTCAAAGAAACCTTTGGGTCATTCTAGAATTTCATGGAGCAGAGACTAAAAATCATCACTAGGAAACTGAGACCCAGATTTTTGAAAAATGATTTGACCAAGATTAAACCAAGACAGATCATGGATAGAAATCAGATTTCTTGGCTCTTAGGCCAGGGTTCATCCAATTACATCACCTTGAACTTCAGTTTCTGGTCTACCTCAGCTTTGGTTGATATTTTAGCTAGTATGTTGTGTACAAATGCATGTCATTGTTATGTATGATTTAGTCATATGATGTCTATTGGAAGAGAAATTCTACACCATGCAGTTACAAAAGAATATACATTGACTAAACAATGATATACATCAAATATACATTATTGGAGGTTGGTCTTGTTTAATGTATTGTCCACCAAATTTGGAATCTTTCCAAGAGACTAATTAATTGTTTGTGATAAAAATCATATAGACAAACTGTGTTCTATTTGAAACAACATCTAACGAGGAGGGGGAAAAACCCTCTGCATTTCTTGAGCTCCTTTACTTTTGGAAACCAAACCACTAACTTTCTAATCATAAGCAGTGTGGTTAACCTGGGTTTATAACTACATTGTCATTAAGGAATGGGGCTAAAGCCACTGCTGAGGAGGTGATTTTTAGAACAAGGGTTCTTATGAGGGTTGAGGGTTAAGAGTTGGGGAACAGAATCGACATTTGTTAAATGTTTTCTAATCGACAGGCACTGAGATCAGCATTTTACAAAGGTTTTTATCCCCATGTAATTTTCCTAAGAACGTCTTAAACAAAGTTAATCAACATAATGACTTTTAAAAGCCATTGGCTTTAACCAACAACACAAATAGTTATCCAACACTTTCAGAGAGAATTCTGACGCATTGTGCTGGTCTCGCGTGGCTAATAATCCATCAAGACCCACATGCACACAGGACCAGAGGAGAAGAGCCCGACGCCCCTCTCCCGGCGCGCCACCGTTCAGCACCACGGACAGCGCACGGCCGGCGACGGAGGGAGGCGGGAGCCACACAAAGCTGTCGTAGCCGGGCTTTTTCAAATCTCCTGGGTCTCCGCGCGGCTTTCTGTGCATTTTCTAAACTACTGTCACAACAACCAAAGCCGGAAAACACAGTGGTATAAAACGGCGAGGCTCGAGGGTCCGCTTACCGTCTGACAAGTCAATCAGCCCGAGGTAGTGCAAAAGTTTCAGAGAGGAGCACACGACCACCACTATGCCCAGGGTTTGGAGCCCTTCGGACTCGCCCTCCGCCCACATCCTCACGGAACCCCACCAGCAAGACGGCAGGTGGGCATTTAAAGCCGGAAACCACGCTTCCAAGCCTCCCTTCCCGCTGTTCTCCTAAGTGCACGGTTTATTCTCTACCAGTCTCCCTACCTCCTACTCTCTGTTCTCTCTCCCTCCCTCCCTTCCACTCCTCCTGCTCCCTCCACCTCTCTCCCTACTCCTAGCTGGCAATCTCTGTGTCTCATAGTACTCTGTGTACTTTTATTCCCTCTTTTACCCAAGACAATTTCTCCAAAGGTTTAACCAATTCCTAAACTTCTGCTAGCTGAGTGTAACCATCACCGGCAACGTCTCATGGCACGTTCTCTCGGCACCTCAGAGGAATACGTGTCACTATAGGCGGTTTCAAAGGCATAGAGAGAGAGACCTACTAGACTTACTGCTTTAGATCTCAGATAGACTGAGAGATGAAAGCTATTTTTTTCAAAGGGACACTTTTTCTTTACTTCCCCAGTGAAACACCAGGAAAGCTGATTCTGGAATACAGGTGGTCCCTGCTTTGACATCGTGAAATGTCCCCGGAAACCGTAGCACCAGGAAAGGTATTATAAACTGGACTGAGTACACAGTTATATTTGTCTTTAGGCAGCTTTTATATCAGTGTCAGGTATCATTAAATGGGTCGTCAGGCTAAGTAATCCTTGGGCAGCACAGAATGAGCAAATCTTCTGGGGATAGAACAAGAAACAGGGATACAAAAGAGCAATGCTGCTGGTGCGTCCTAAACTGATGGGCTCTGTGGGAACCTTCACCCTCTTCCTGCACTGGCATGTCAACAGTGAGCCTGGTGGGGAAAGATGTTCAACACAGAGAATAGGGGAGATTGGAGACTCAGAGTCACAGAAACCTGTCTTTGGGCAATTTCCCGGATCTCCATGAAGTCCAGTTTCTTCTTCTGTGAATAAACTTACATCTGATAAGAGAATCTATGCAAAGGGTGAGAACAGGGTGGGCACTTAACAAATGCTGGTGTCAGATTTTTAGAATACACTATGTTGACAACACTGTGGGGGAAAGGCACTCTCTTGAATCATTGGTAAGAATGTACTTGTATTTATTTGGAAATAAAAAATGTATATACTCCTCAATCCAGAAATTTCACATACTGAAATTTTACTTGTAGGGATGCCTGCATATGTGTACAAATATATACGCACAAGGATGTTTATTGTATCGTTTGTTTATAACAATAAAAGGCTGAAAAGACTTATATGCTCATCAGTGAGAAAACTGGTTAAATAAATAATAATACATACATAAAAGGAATACTATGTAGCCATTAACAATAATATGGCACATCTATGTATCTTTTTCTGGAAGAATAATGACAATGTACTGGTAATTGAAAAAAGTAAGTTGTTTGGTACACTACCATTTTAACAATGAAAAGGGACACATACACACACACACACACACACACACACACACACACACATGCTAGAATATAGATAATATATTTCCAGAAGGGTACACTGATAATTGAGAATTTATTCTGAGGGCCTGGGTTCAGAAGGTGACCCACTGTTGAAATTTTCTCCCACGTATGTGTGTAATGGATTTAAAACAACAACAACTAAATGCAAATGCTGGTCTCTCCTTCCTTTCCTTCTTTGCAAAAGGGCAGACATATTCTACATATCTGAGTAAGACTCAGGAAAATCTTGTCTTCTCTGCTTAGCATCTCTCGTCTCAGTTCTATATGACAATCTCCAGTCTCAGTGGTGGCTGAGCAGTGTGTCCCGGTGCCAGCCTGTAGCAGCTGGTGAAAGCTGATTGTTAAATATTTAGGAAATCTGCAATGTAGTTGGTAAAGCTTTGGTAGCTTGAAATTAGGCATGGTAGGAGTATTTATACCATGGAAATCAGCAAGTGCTATAAATCAGAGTTTCTTCCCCCTCCCCATGGCCATTGGTTTACCAGGACACCAAAATGCCATTCCACATCCCATCTGCCCAGAAGGAAACATGAGAAATTCACCTGCCCAGGGGTTTTCCTAATAATATGTTTCCTCTCCTCTGAAACCCTAGCAAGTGTAATACTTAGTCCACTGGGCTCAGTGGGATTTTAGGCATTAGTATATCCAGCTACGAGGAGCTAAATTAGAAGCAGGGAGACTTCCAAGTCTCTGGGAAGGTAATACTTTATTCTCTTGGCTTCGCTAGCCTGTACTGCTTCTGGTTTCTACCTACTCCTTCCCCTCTCTCTACTGCCTCCTTTCCAACAGCTCTGGAAAGGTGCTGTTCCTGATTCTCCCCACTCCACTCGTGCATGCTCACTGGGCCAGATGTCAGCTCTGGGCAGGTGCTCTGGTCTCAGGCACTTTCCTGGGCTCCTGTCCCACATTTTCATCTATTGCCCTATTTTACCTCAAACATTCTCTCTTTAGTTCCATCAACAGGTAATACTGAGCATCTGTTAGATGCAAGGCCAGGTGTTAGGAACTAGATTTAATCCCTTGCTGCTTTCTGGAATTTCTGGGATGAGTGAGGCAAGAAAGGAGGGCAGTGGTTCCTGCTTTCTGCTTTGCTGTTACCATGTAAAGACTAAAGTTCTCTAAGAATTTGACCTCAAAGACAAATCCCTTTTCCAGTTGTCTCCTAAACCTGAACTTTAGGAGCATCTGTGTCTCACCTCCATGTCTCACCTCTGTGAATCACCTCCATGGCAACCAGAAAGACTTAGCTACTATGTCTCAGAAATGTTGAGGTGCAATTTCTTATTCTCAAGAAGATCGGAAGGAAATTCATATCATAGTGGGTGTCTGAGTGCCAACCCCAAGTTACCTGCCTCCCAAGTCCATGCTCTCCCCATGTGTCCAGCTAATGAAAGGTGAGTCTGTGGTTTGGCATTTGTGAGAACTACATGAACTGTTTGTTAGAAAGCCTGCCTTTTTCTCACATCACAGTTCCACCCAGAGTCACATGGTTTCTGCACAAATCATCCCTGTGCATGTAATCCACATTGAAATCTTCACTCAAGTTCCATCTTTCAGTTGGTGAGATACATTTGCCCTAACTGGAGCACTGTGGAATCTATTTCACAATTTGCTTTTTACTATTTCCATATCGGTTGTAAGGTGAATATGTTTGCATCGGAGATGTGAGCCTGTACAGATTTTGACACTTCTCTCACTAATTTGTCCCAAATCACTATTTTTTGGCCAAGAATTTTCACTTTGTTGGCCCTCTTCAATTTCTTATTAACACTAGCAGGCATTTATTTCCTCAGGTTAATTTGCCCCAAAGAAGCACAGGTTTGATCATTTGTGAGGTGTTCTCTCTGGGTGAGGATGGGTGGATGGGGCGTTTTGCTGATCTCTTGTACCAGCTACCTGACTTTGGTTCTGATCCATCTAGACACCAAAACAGGCTGGTTTCCAATCTAGCTCTTCACATCTTGACAAATGAATACTGGCCATGGTCTTCAAGGTCCCTCGGAAGTCTTGGAAACCAAGATGGTCACACTCACCAATGCCAGGTTTTTGCCAAACCGTCACAGAGTTGCTGGGTTGGATTTTTAGCTCTGCCACCTACTAGATATGTGACCAGGAAAAGTCACTTGAATTTTTAGAGCCAGTTTCTTTACCAAGGGATAATATTAACACATATCACAGGTTGTTGCAATAATGAAATAAGATATTGCCATAAAGTGCCCAGCACAGTCCTTGACTCCGCAGTGAAAGGGAGTTTTGGCGCTGAGGTCCAGAGCACAGCCTCTGGGCCAGACTGCCTGTTTTGTCTCTTAACTCTACTAGCTCTGTCTACTTAGCTCTGTGACTATTGGTGAGTTACTTAACCTTTGTGGGCCTAAATTTTCTCACCTGTAAAACATAGATAATCACAGCACCTACTTCGGAGATTTTTCGTGAGATCAAAATGAATTAGCAATTATTCATAGAAACAATGATATCAGTATCATTATTACTGTTATCATTGTCCATAAGCCCAAGGAGCCAATAATCAGATGGGTCCCATGGAGAGGTCATAGGTAATATGTATCCATTGGGGGTTTGGATCTGGGGAGAAGAAGGAGTACTGTTTCAGGTAGGGGAATTAGACTTCATTGGAAATTGCTGGGTGCTTGAACTTCAGTTGTCCAGCCACAAATCCTCCTTCTAGGCAAATGCTTTCAGCTGAGTATGATTTGTTGCTGCTTAAACTTCACTTGAGGTCTGCCCCTAGCAGCTACAAAATCAAATTCTATTTTAGCTCACTACCTCTGCTGCTCTCGGCTTGCTTGTTGCGGTGGACCTTGGAGCACACAGAGGGGCCCTGTGGTGCAATGTCCCTCAAGACCGGAGCAGTCCACGTAGTTAACTGCAAACTCACGTGCAGTGTGACATCCACAGTCCCTTGACTCACAGGGCTTGCTGCTGGCGTGTGGGTTTTCCGAGTGGTTCTCCTGGTAAGGTGCTGTCTAAAACTCATTTGGATAAACTAATTTGGTAGGAACCTCATTTTCCAGAATGTTCTGCTGCAGTTAGTATAAAAATAATGCCAATAATTGCATTTGGAGTTTTCTTTTTCTTTAGAAAGTATGAAAGAAATAAAAGAATTCCTCAGAGCACCATCTCAGAGCTCCTGATTCTACCAGAAAGCAAATTATTTAACTGCAAGATGGTTTTTGTTCAGAGAAAAAATCATTACTATCCCCATCCCTGGTCAAAATGGGAAAATTATTCCTGTGTTCTTCATCCTAGCCCTTATCTTGGTGCCCTTTTGTGTTTGTTTAAATTAGTTTTATAATGATGGTGATAATTGTACAATAATAAAATAATGACACCTTCTTTTCTCCCTTCCCCTCCCTCCCTCTTTTCCTCCCTCTCTCCTTTCTCAGATATTCACTGTTCACCTAAGCTCTGTGTACGTGTTGGACACATGAAAAGTCTTACCCATTAGGAATTTCACAATGTCCCAAAAGTTTTTTAGGATTTTTACTTTGTAAAGTTCTGTTTAACCTTTTAAATCTCTTTACATGGTGTAGTTTCTCAATAAATATTTGTGGAAAAATACCATGCCACTCTTCATAATCAACCTTTGGGTTAGGATACTCATTGTTTCTGCTTTACGGATAAGAAAACAGGTGCAAAGAGGAGGAACTAAATGCTATTAGCATTTTCCATGGAGCAAGCACTATGTTGGACTTTTTGCACATGATTTCTTCTTTATTTTAATTAGCACAACAACTGGTGACATTCTTACTGGTGTCCCACCTTACAGAGCAATTTTAGACAGATGCTGAAAGGTTAAAAAAATCCCTCAGTGCATCCAGCTAGAAGCCCTTCTTTCAGAATCGCATTATTGGGAAGAGATGTCATGCTTTAAGCCGCTTCCCGTGGAATCCGGCTGGGCTGGCTCTCCACCCCCAGTCCTTGTCCCTCAGGAGTGAATTCTCAATGCCAGATCTCCTCCTTTGATTGCATCAGAGCTCCATGGAGCCTAAGGGGAAGGGGAGACAAATGGAGACAAGCTTCCTGGTTCTTCCCCTTGCACTTAAAAAAACCCTCAGGAAAGATCATTCCAAGCACCTTAGAAAATCAATTTGGGGAGGATCTTGAACCCTGCTTTCAGGATCCTGTGTTCCTTGGGTTGAACTTCAAGATTCACTCCCTCAAACGTTCAGTCTGCAGGACTCAAATTTTCACTCTCCGTCTCATCACAGCCTCCTCCCCTCCTGTGGATCCAGGCTGAGGAGGTGGAGATGTAGGTAGGTCTCTCTGCTTAAAACAGGCAGGAGAACAGGAATCGATGGGCCCTGGCAGGGAATAATAATGAGCGCATTCATTAATGAGTGCACAGTGTTCCTGCAGGCTGTCAGCGCTAGTCATTTGTTGGTTTGAGCAAAACTTAACTGTTGTCAATGGAAAGCTATTTGCAAATAAAGCCAATGAGTAATAACATTTAAATATTCCCTGACATATTTCAGTTGTTATCTCCTTTGCTTCTCAAGGAAGGATCTAGGCTCTGTTGGAATTTCAACAGAAATTCCAATTAATACACACATTTATAATCAAGATTGTGGATCCAAATGAACTAATTAACTCCCCTCCCTCCCTCCCTCCCTCCCTCCCTCTCTCCCTCTCTTCCTTCCTTCCTTCCTTCCTTCCTTCCCAGGTATGCTGCTAAATATCCCACAATACACAGAAAGCACTTCCACAATAATGAAATATCTGTACCAA